AACCAAAACCAGTTCTATGGACAGAAACCAGCAGCATAACTAATAAATAGTTAGGCTCTTTCTCTGATTTTACTTTTGGTAACTTAAAAAAAACCAAAACACCCCCCCCCCCCCCCCCCCAAACAAACAGGTAAACAGTAATCTGAGAGAAAAGTGCTCTTCTAACTCTTCTAAGAGAATATAATAGTTTGAATTCTTTAAGACAGGTTCAAGACAAATATGAGTCACAACTAATTCATAGAAAATTCATTTCTTGGTACGTTTTATAGTTTAGAAAGTATACATTAAAGTTGTATTTTAAATATTGTTATTTTTATTTATGGGAGAAGTGTGACCTCTCTAGTGAGTGTTCCTACTTTAACTGAATGCTTTTCAGATAACTTTAAAAAAAACGTGACAGATGGGTCATTAACAAATTAATTTTAAAAAATCTAATAAATCTAATTGTGGAATTTTATTTCATTTTATATTGCACCATATACTAATATGAGCACGGGACAAAAAAGGAAAAAGAAAAAAAAGCGCGAATAACAGTTCCGGGTGGGAGGTGGGGAGGAGGGAAACGACTTTGGGCACGCGCGTGGTTGGGAGTTGGACGTGTTAACGGTAATCGGTCGTCGAGTTCGATTATTTTGTTACCACGAAAATCAGTCTTTAAAAGTGGTAGACAAATTACACGAAACGATAAAAACACCGAGCCTGGACTAACATTTAGCTCACTGGGTTAAATCTGCAAAGTTTAGGTGAGGAGAAGTTTAGCGCCGCTGGGGCTACGGGCGGTTTTTTTTCTTTTTGGCTAGGCTAACGGTGGCAGGTCTTCGAGGAGCTAACGTCGACGGTACTTCCAGAACACTCGGCAGGATTTCAAGGTGTAAAAACGGTAAGTTATGTACTAAATCCTGCATGGTTCGCTACTATAATTCTGTGTGCTTTTAAACTGAGGGACAATCATCATAATGAGCCCTCGCCTATTAACTTAGTACCTGATATGATGCTAGCGTTTGCGTTATTGAAGTAACGTGTGATAATAGGTAATTAGTTAGCATTAAAATAAGTTCTTAACATGAAAGGTTTGGAATAATGTTGTTTTCTGACACTAGACTGGACTGTCAGAAAAGACAATAACTAAACGATAGGGTTGTGCTAATAGTGCTAATTTTCAAGATGATGTCAAACATTTCTGTGATAACCTGTGTCCCGTTTTTCGCCTCGTTTAAAATATTTAAAATAATTGAAAAGTATATTTAAAATTTCGAAGTTAAATCTTGTCGTGGAAAATAAAGAAGAAAAAGTTCCTGCTATTTAGACGGTTGAGGCTTTACTTGACCCCACTGTTAGACACATTTACTTATCATCATTGCAACCCAGTAATTTAATGTATGCCTGTGAAGTTCTCTGCAGAGCGGGTCTACGGGCTCAAAATGTAGTCATAAATATTTTGTACTTGTAAATCAGTTTCGTATGTGTAAAAAGAATTTGTGCGTGCGTAAAAAAGATTTGTGTGTGGACTTGTGTGTCAAAAAAACCCTGCAAGTTACAAGTACGAATTTTGACCCTATTTTTCTTCCTTTCATCTGATTGGCCAATGTCATGTCAATCACAAATGTAACAATCCAATCAGAGAGCAGAGATGGGTTTGGCTGTCGGAGGGGCGCTTTTTT